AGACATATGCTACAAAAAGTACAAGATCACTATTAAATACTTTTGTGTCCCATTTAAGCTTACAGACTGATATTCCTTCCACCACTGCCCATGTTTAAGCTGGTTTCGACAGAACTTATATATCCCGCCAGTAGCTTTTTAGATAGTAGCTGGAACATTGTATGACCCAGAGAAAACATAACATAAATAGAAATCCAGATTCCATGCAGACAGCATCCCTGGTGAAAAAGGAACATTGCTGCCAAATAGTTGTTGCTTTCATAATTAATACAGTACACTGTCTGACTACTTGTCACTGTGTAACAAAGCTGAGAAAAAATGCCTTCTCTGTCTAGCAATATTGTTCAGTTGGGTCTGAGACATTTTTCATTTTTGCACCATCATGGTGGAAAGTTATCTGCACCATGCGCACAAGAAAAAAAGTCACTAGGCATATGGAAATGCTTTATGTTACCTTATCAACATTCACCCAAATCAGCATTATATCCAGTGGATATGCTTTAAATGTATTTAAAGGCTTTTTTGTTTTGTTTTGGTTAGAATGGATAAGAAGGGTTAGTGATTGCAGTCTCTGTCCCCACAGGGGAGATTCACCTCTCTATTTGTCTCGGTGACCGTCACTGGTACAGAAAGTAGAGGGAACCCTACATTTTAGAGTTGTTATGGGAGCTAAAGGTGAGCGGAAATCTTCCAATGGAGACACCTGTAGTAGTGATAACTGTCTCAGATGGAAATTCCTCTCACTTTGGGGAGGATTTCTCTTGCTTCCAGTTGCATCTCCAAGACAGGAAGTGAAGGAAAAGCTCCCCAGTGGTATGCAGACAGCAGAAAATAGACTAACACTTTCTTACTCTATCCAAAAACTACAAAATGTCTTGGTTAGACAAACATTCTAAGGCACAGTTCAAAAATCTTTTATGATCCACCTTCTGTTGATCTAGTTACCCATGAACTTTTACAAGGGTTCCACCGGGCCCCTTACCTGATTAATGGGTGTCTTTATTGGAAGGTCATACTAAGCCAGCAGCCAGATATGGGCAATATATCGAAATATGGGACATTTTTATACTGAGTACCAGGGCTGTCCCATAATGTTCTTCCAGGGGGTGGTGTACTGGCAGAGAACAGTCCTTGGGGAGGTTTTGGGTGGTGGACTCGCTGATCTGTCGTTGGGATGGGGTGGACACCAGGCCCCTCTCTAAAAGGCTCTGTCTGGCCTCCCACCCAGATCCCTGATGTCACTGGTTGCCAGGAGCTTGGCAGGACCCCAGCCACAGCATGCAGCTCAGCTCAGTGAGCAGGGAAGAATGCTGCACAGAGAGTCACAGGTTACTAGGAGCTCTTACATGGGATGCTGTGGCCACCCCCCACCACCCAGCATCTCTCCAGTGAAATACCGCCTGAGGCAACTGCCTCAAGGTGTCTTATTATAGGGATAGCCCTGCCCCACACAGTGCACATACACAGCCTTCATAAAAAAGAAAGAGGTATCGAGTAGGGAAGGATTACAATACCTGTCAAGTTTTTATTGCTGCATTTGTCCCCCACTAGATGGATTAATTCTCTCTATTGATCCTGGTGTCAAATTTTTACAGCATTCTTTAGAACAAGAGCTGAGGGGAAATCTACCAATGGGGACACCTTTTTCAGTGGCAACTGTTTAAAATGGAAATTCTACTAACTTTGTGAATATTTCTTTGTACTTCCTGTTGCAGCTCTGGAACAGAAATTGAAGGGGCTTACCAATGGGACAGAGATGGCAAAACATGAACTGAATTAGGTTCTAATCCTTCTCTACTCTATCCAAAACCAACAAAAAAAGTTCTGGCTATACTGTACATACGCTTTAAGTGAGGGACTTGGAGCCTTAACTCGGACAGACTCTCCACTTGCAGATATGAACAATGAGAAAAAAGAATTAACAGTTGTCTAGCTGGAATGTAGACAATATGCACTGCTACAAAATGAGCACTAATGTTTCTACAGTTAGGTTGATTGACCATCCAAAAGGTTCTGTATTCTAATGTTGGATTCATATATTCTGTGTGCTAACTGGTGAATCTCAGGGATATTAAAAAGAAAGAAGTGTAGCATTTGTATTTGTTTATCAACTAGGCTGAAGAAGAACTACAGAAAATCATTGTCTTTAAAACTTGGTTATGTATTGGATTAAACCTATTGTATGAAAAAAAAAAATTGATCAGTTAGAATCCTATATCAGGTAAGAATGGGACAACATTCCTCTCCCAAAACTCTGCATATATTTATCCCAAATCAATATGGACATGAGCAGGCGGAAGATCCTGCAGGAACCATATTCCACCTGCGATCCGCTGATTGTAAATGCAATGCTTTACTGGCTCCTATGCAAACATTTTTTTTATAAATGCACATTTTATCTTTTATTTTCATGTGTGCATAAATAAACATAAATAAAATATAAACAAAAATGCTTTAGCAGAAATGTACACTATTCAGGACAATGCAGGAGGTGGAGCTTAATGTCAGAAAGGGGTGGGGCTTTATGTTAATAGGCAATTCATTTGTGCTGGAAGGACCTGCTGACTGGATAGACACTGATTCTCCACCAGTAGTGTATGTTCCCCAATGGGCAATTTTGTTTCTTACCTTAAATGCATTACAACAGTTTATCACATATACAGTGATGAAAATGAAAATGTTGTACATAGTTCAGTTTTCTAAAAGCATAATGGATTGTTCAAATTAGATAAAATTGTATATGCAGTAAGGGCCATGTCACACTAGGGATCCTGTCAGTGATTCGCTAAAAACTGCAGGGAAACTACCTTCCTCCATGTTCACCTACCTCCATGTTTTCCTCATTTGTCAGCTGGATAGAAATGCTGCACAATGTAAGACACCAGCAAGGGAATGATGCTCTGCTTATCTAGCCAGTGATAGAGTGACATGTGGGAACAAGCGAGTATTTCATCTAGTCCTTTTACCCCTGAATATCAATCCTGTCGCTTGCAGGTTTTTGCCATCAACCGGTTTGATAGTTAGAGAGGGAAATGGTGCACACCAAATGGTTTTTGGTGCTGTAGGGACAAGTGCTATAAGATTACATTTCAGAGCACATTCAGAGCATGTTTCGAGGCACATAGCCCCTTCATCAGGCAAACAATGATGAAGGGGCCATGGGCTCCGAAACATCGATTTTACTGTGATGAATATTAAAGCTCCTCTAAGCATACAATGTGCTTGTGTGACATTATTTGTTGAGGATTGCTAGTGTGACATGGCCCTAAGTCCCCGTTCCCACCTTTGCATTCCATTAACACGCTCCAAATGCGCATCATGTGTGCTTTTTCATGGAACGTGTCCAAAACATGCATCACTCTTCTTAATGGCACCCCCAACCGTGGCCGGAAAACCATGTGGATGCGCATTAAATGTGCACAAATGCATGGGGGAAAAGGCTGTATGTCTGTAGCAGAATCTACTACATGAGCTACTTTCCTGCATTTGTTGCACATGCGGCATACATTGAAATCAGTGTGTGAAGCGCCGCAAATGCGGGTAAGAACTGTGAATGTGCAGGAACACATGCAAACGTGACATGCATTTCCAGTATGCCGAGGTGTGCAGGGGGCCTAAGGCTATATTCACATAGATGCTGAATACAAACAGCACCTAGCGCCAATATTGATTGAACAAGAATTTAAATTGGAATTCTATTGCCCGTTGCCGTGGGAAGCCATTGAATTGAATGCTTCCTAAACAAATGCAGAAGATGGTCACCACAGTTGGGGAATAGCTTGGTAGGTGCTGGAGAAGCCAATGAAGGGCCCCCTTTTTGTTTCCATGTGAATGCAGCCCTATAAAGATCTGGGTATAAATGTTCTCTTGTCAAGGGGTAGTTAAGACTAGGTGATCAAAACCAATGGGTACAAAGTAACCAATTGCTTTCATAAAGTGGTACATACAGGGGCGGACTGACACACATGGGGCCTCCGGGCAATACAAGATTATGGGGCCCCCTTGTGCTCCGCCCATATACAAGTCCCTCCCTCACGCCCCACCTGCATAGACATTCTTGTGTCACAGAAATTTTTTCTCCACATTAATTTTCAAATAGTGGGCTAATTCACTAAGAGATGAATTGCCGGGGAACTGGTGGGAGAATTTCAAAATCTAGACCAATATAGTCAATTTGAAAGTCAGCTAAATGTCAGAATGCATGGTTAGACCTCAGACCGGAACCAATACACGTCACACTTCAGACCAGAACCAATGCATGGAAGAACTCGGGCCGGAACCAATACACTGCAGATTGGGCAGTTAGAGTGACACATACACAGCGACATCTCTGGGATCAGCCATCACACACAGTCGGATCCCTGTGGGATGTCATCCACACACACGCGTTAATGGGCAGCTCCTTCCATACCAGCACACGTGCTCTCCTTTAGCAGGTGGGTGCAGCTGTGTTAAAGCAGCGACAGTAGTGTCTGTTGGACCCAGGAGGCGGGGGACACTGCCCCGGCCACTTTAACACAGCCGCATCTACTAGTTTGGCTGCGGCTCAGCCGAAAACAGCAAAGAGATGGCGCACACAGCTGCCTTTCCTTTAGTGGCGACTCTAGGAACAATATATGGGGGGCACATAAGATACTATAAGGTGCTCCAACCCCTGTCACTGTCATTTTTGCTGGACAGCTTGGGCTGCATGTGCTTAATGGCAATAACAGCAAATACAATACAAATAAGAATATACTTAATACTGTCCTTACACGTTTTAAGCATATACAGGAACCAGAATGCAATATTTTTTACCCTAGTGGTCCTTTAATGTCTGTTAATAGTAGCCCTTTAATATATGTTAACTCTTTGACTGCCTGTGATGTCTGCACCTTCCTAAGAGCAAGGCTGCAACAACCCCTTACATCACAGCCTGATACAGGAAGAACATACCTTCAAAGAAGTGGACATTAATACAGACATGTCTGAAAAAACAAATTACAGATTACTTATTTTATTATGAAATATATTTTTACTATTTTCAGAAGAACAAATGCAAAATATACTGTAGCAGAAGGTGCCTACAAAAGAAAAAAAATGGCATACCTGGTGGACAGCAAATGATATAGCAAATAAGCCCCATTTTTTCCCCTGGATCTCTGTCCTGGCTTTTTTTAAGGTAGAAAACTATGATTCAGTAAAAGACATACAGAACAATATTCGGTTTGTCACAGAGCTCAGCGCTAGCAGGCATGCTGCCTGTACATTCAGACTGCCATATACTGTCACATCGCTGTGGGTCAGCTTTGATGACCACTATCTGGTCTAGCAGATCCCCTCCCCCGTGGCGCTCTGCTTCCACCCTAAGGCAGTGCAATGTCAACGTTGGCATACATCTCAGTGAGTGAATTTCTTCCTCTTACTCAGGCAGATGATTTTCTTGAAGGATCTCCGGAAGTCTTGGTTGAAGATAGTATAGATAACAGGGTTGAGGGAGCTGTTGCAGTAGCCAATCCAAAAGAAAAACTTGAATAAAGTTTCTGGAATGGCACAGGCTTCCCTGCAGATGCCATAGAGGCAGTAGCTGAAGAAAAAGGGGAACCAGCAGACCACAAATACACCCATGACAACGGCTAGGACAAAAGTGAACCTCTTCTCCCTGGCTTGGGTGACCTTCCTCCTGGAGATGCTGCTCCTCTTCTTCTTCCTGGAGGAGAACATGTCCACAGATTTGTTACTAGAACGGGACAAGCGGCTGGACTGTTTAGAGAAGCTCTTCCTCTCCTTTCCACAATCAGTATTGTCCTCCCGACTGCTGCTCTTCCTTCTCTTGCTCTCAGATATACTGCTCTCCTCAATGTCCAGCTCGTCTAGATCTGTGGTGGTTTTTGGTGGGGTGGGTCGGGATGGAGGGTAATGCCCGTTCTCCCTGTCCACGGGAAACTTGACAGAAGTCCCCTTGGTGTAGCCATTCTCAATATGTGAGGAGCAATTGGTGGATGGCTTCTTCTCCGACAAAGTCCTGGTCCTCAACTTGGCCACCTGGTAGATGCGCACATAAACTAAAATCATGATCACGCAGGGGGCAAAGAAGGATCCTATAGAGGAAGAGAGGATGTACCAAGTCTCATCGTTCAGTTCACATTTCACGTCCTCATCTGTCCAGTTGACCTTCTGGACGGTCGTATCACCAACACCTAGCCTGTCCATTGAGATCAGAGGTGGGAAGGAGATGACAGCCGAAATGAGCCAGACAGTGACAATGATCCCTTTAATCCTCCTGGGTGTCCTTTTCAGGTTGTACTCCACAGCTTGAGTGACAGACCAGTACCTGTCCAGGCTGATGGCACACAAATGGACTATAGAGGAGGTACAGAAGAGCACGTCCAAAGCCAGGTAGACATCGCACCAGAGGTTGCCAAAGTACCAATATCCCATCAGTTCGTTAGCCAAAGAGAAGGGCATGACCAAGGCTGCCACCAGGATGTCTGCCCCAGCCAGGGACACCAAAAAAAGGTTTTGTGGAGCTTTCAGAGCTCTGCTAGTCAACACAGCAATGACCACAAAGACATTACCAACGATTGTAAATATAATAAGAAAGCCTACTATAACTGTCAAGGTCCAGATTGCAGTTATGGAATATCTTCCATTGCCTTGGTACCCAGAGGGTGGCAAAAAAGTACCGTTGATATAATCAGTGGTGTTCTCCAGCTCATCCATGCTGGTGTTAAAGTGACAACCACATAGCTCCGTTGCTTTGGTGCGGGTCCCTTGCCAAGTTAGGATTTCATTAACCCTCATCTCCAGTCATTGTCCCCTGTCTCCTCATGGCTGGTAACTTCCATCAAGATGCAAGATCTAGAAGTAGAGCTCTACCTCTCCTAAGCGTCCAGAAGCCTCCTGAAGCTGGTCCTGAGGTCCACACGCCGTGAACATGAAGCTGCTAGCGGGTATGTTCTCTTTCTGGTCGCCTGGCTTGTCTTGGACATTGTGCTCCAGCAAGGGGCAGTGTTCACAACACACTGGGAGGAGGAGGTGGTACTGAGGCAAGCGCTGAGATCCTTAGGTTATAAGCATCCTCATCATCTGCTCTTCCATCAAGCCCAGACTCAGCGCTCAGCCTGCTCTCCAAGCAGCAAATCACTTTCTGGAGGGTGTGATGGCGTAAAAAGCACCCTGTGATCTCCTGCTATTAACTGCTCAAGCTTTCTCTCTCTCTTTAACAGAAATAAAAAAAAAACTCCTATGCTTTTGGATTTGGAAACGATGCAGATGATGCAAATGCACTGAGTACAATGTACTTATGTGTTAAGTGCACTGAGGCTGCTGACTGAAATACTGGTAAGTCCTCTCTGTCTTTTTTTTTTTTTTTTTTTGCACAGGACCACTTCTCAGATGGGAAGTGACACAAAGGAGCTGGTGTTGTGTCATGTTGTGCTCAAGTCTCAGCACTGCTCTTCTGAGCATGATTAAAATGTATACATTGCTAATTTTACATCAAAAGCACAAGGAACATTCATTGCCATCAACAATGGCAACACAACAAAAAAGGGAAATAAAATGACTGACTCCGTATCACTTCTGGGTAAGCTGAACCTTTGATGAGAGTTATTGAACAGAAACAGAAGGAATGGAATTCTGAATAGGCAGATAAATCATTTCTGGCCAGCAATGTGGATTTTCATTTCAGATTTGCATTAAAATGTCCTTTGTAAAATTGTAAATCAGTGGCTGATGCTGGTATGGCACTACAAGTTCCATCATACACAGCCATTGGTTATCACTGCCTATTCATTCCCTTTTTGCACACTATGTGCATTTGTTGGTCAAACATTTACTAGATTTGTTAATGAGATAGTATACAGCAGAAACATTCACAGGGTGCTCAGTGCCCTGCAGTGTAATATTTAGACCTATACCCATCCATTGTATGTCTTTCCATAGAACTATATGACAACACAAACTGCAAATGCCTCCATAATGCTTGTCAATGCAACTAAAAGGTTTGTGATTGTGTCTATTTTCTAATGATGACTGGGCACTAAGGTGTACTAATATAATCTGTAGGATTCCTTACTGCTCTATACAACTCTCATAGTTAATCTCATAAACTAAATTCTCATTGTCTTTCATTAAGTTAAGACGCAGGAGCCATAAAGAGAGCTGTTTAGATCCTGTGGTACTACAAGTCCAAACTAACCCAAGTACAACTTGATGACTTGTAATGAAATAAAGCTTTCCAATGACATCTGCATAATTGTGAACTGATTTATAAAATAGCGTGCATGTATTAATCTGAGGGAACAGATGGGAATGGATGTGGGGGGGGGGGGGGGGGGGGGTTTTTGTTTTGGTGTG